CACTATTTGCATATTTGTAACTTTTTTCTGAATTTCCATGTCCATTTGTGACTGATTTTCATTGAAATCCTGAAACTCGCTCCCCTGCAAACTTGTGCATAAATGAGTATCCCCCTTGATTCTACACTCCTGCCACTTCTTCCCTTACCTTGTTGTCCCCCAACAATATTATCCATGGCCATATATAGTTAGCTTTGTGGGTGCCACTTGCAATTATTGGCAATGCCCTGAGCATTACTATCTGTGCGCTTATCCACCACCTTTATGGAACATGTAACCTACATCAATATTTCAAATACAGTAGTAATCTCCTTCCCCAGTGGAAGTCCACAACCTCTCAGTTATATGTCCCTGTGTTTCCCCTCCCCTCCATGCACAGACTTTTGAAGATTCAGTAGCTTCTTCCTACCAGCATATCTTAGCAGTATTATTATTCAGTCTGATCTTGCTCTCACTAGTGCCCTTTGTAGCACTTGTTCACCTGCCATTGGAGCAATTCTACTAATAGTGGAAGCTGTAAAATGGATATTAATTCGACAAGCAAAGTACAAAATTCAGGTGAGGTGAGGTAAGGTGGTGGTGGGAGAGGGGGAAATGAGGTGACTCCTGGTTTATATGGAGGGAAGACAGATTTTTTTTCTCTCCTACAGAAAGACTCCACTATTAGAGCTGTTGTCAATACCACAGCACATTACACTTAAGTAAACATTGAACTGATCTCAAATCTTCACTTAAAAGTCAAGTGCTTTGCCCAATGAAATCAAACAAATAAATAATTCCCTGCCCTAGTTTCTCACTTTGAAAACAACAATGGATATATAGTTACTTAAAGCAGGTTGCTTTCTGCCAGTTTAATGATAAAATTTAAAAGGACCACTGGCAAACTAAAAACTATATTTGTTTGAAAATATCTACCCTGTATTTAAAAATTAGATTGCACACATTAAAAAATGAATTTTTTCTTCTGTTTTCTTTCTGTACTTTTAACTTGTATAAACAGCTAGTTTTTCCTGTTATCAGTCTGGTTCTTTTTATAAAAAACAAACAAACAAAAAAAAAACCTTTCCCTTGCTTATAAAGTCACTCTTGTGAATGTACTTTAGACCAAAACCAAAAAAAACAACCCTGTCCTGTTCTCTTTTGCTCAGGTATAATGCTAATAACCATTCTCATAAATACACCAGATAATCACATTGACATGCCATACATTCACTAATCATTCCTAGCTCTCAAATTCATTTTCTCATACTTGACTCAATCGTTTGTTGCTTCACCCCATTCTCTTCTGCATACCCCGAAAATAATCAGTTTTCTTCTGTGCCCCACAAAGTTTCTTATCTCTCAGCAGGACTCTTGAAAGCTGCAATAGGTCAACACCTTTCTTCCCTTTGGGCCTCAAGTCCTTTGACTGCTCCATGTCCCAAGAACCTAGATAAGGTCTAACCTACCCATTTCCTTGTTTAAGAAAGGTCTCCAATCATTTTTTTTTTGTAATTAAAAAATGAAGTTCAGCTTCTGCTATTTTATAGAATTGTCTTTGTGCAGAATGTCATCAGATGAGGAGAAAAGCACAAGTCCAGTTTTGCCAAAAGACTCAGATCGAGGCAGTTCTGTCTCTTCAGATCTTCAGGTAGGACAGAAGCAATTGCATTTGAACCTCTTTTATGGCACTTTATTTGACAGAATGTAATTGTGAAGAAATGCAGTGAGTAACTTTCAGCGTTTTCTAATTTGTATTTATTTTAGGCATTATAATAGAGAAATAAGAATGCTAATGGAATGAAGCAAAATAGAGAATACAAGCACAATTTTAGTTTTTATAACAAATGTAACATTGCTAGTTTTTGTTCAGTAAAGATTCAAACTTGATGTAATTGCACAAAACATTTAATATATAGAGTATGTGTTTTGACTTAAGTTTAAAAGACGGCACATTTATCCCAGAAGTAAAAGACTTCTGCTTTCTTACAACTATTCACATTGGTGTGCATAACTAAATTAAAGGAATAAAACTGATATTAAGGCTAGAAAACATCATTATGTCTCTTGATGCTAGTGATTAACCAGTATTCAAGATCTTGAATGTTGTTTCTGTTAGGAGGAAAGAACAATGCTTGTAGTTTCTTTGGTGCAATCCTGTTTATTTACAAAGGATGTACAGTAAACTTCCGATAATCTGGCACCTTTCGGGCCCAGGGGGTGCCGGATTATCAGATATGCCAGACTATCGAAAGTGGGGGCTATGAGGAGTCCGGGGTGGGGTGGGGGGTGCCCCCCCAGGAATGTTGTTTCTGTTAGGAGGAAAGAACAATGCTTGTAGTTTCTTTGGTGCAATCCTGTTTATTTACAAAGGATGTACAGTAAACTTCCGATAATCTGGCACCTTTCGGGCCCAGGGGGTGCCGGATTATCAGATATGCCAGACTATCGAAAGTGGGGGCTATGAGGAGTCCGGGGTGGGGTGGGGGGTGCCCCCCCAGACCCCTCATAGTCCCCCCTTCCAATAGTCTAGTTCTGCCCCAGGCGTCCCCGATTGAGCCACTGCTGGTCAGTTTCAGCAGCGGCTGAATCAGGGATGCCTGAGGCAGAGCCGGACTATTGGAAGGGGGGGCTAGGAAGGGGTCTAGGGTGGCAT